CCTGCACTCCATACTCAGGACATTTTACATCCCTGCACTCCATACTCAGGACATCATACATCCCTGCACTCCATACTCAGGACATCATACATCCCTGCACTCCATACTCAGGACATTTTACATCCCTGCACTCCATACTCAGGACATCATACATCCCTGCACTCTATACTCAGGACTAACAGTTCTGTACTCCATACTCAGCACACAGCGCTCCATCCCCAGAAGGAAGGCAGCCCCAGACGCCGCCAGCAGGGCTCAGGACTCAGATCGCCTCTCTCACCCGGACTGTTCTTTGTAGAGGGAGCGGAGCGGATTTTGGATGTGAGTGTCGCACCCATAGCTGAAGCGTTGTGTCAGACAGAGAAGACTGGAGAATAGTGAAGTTGGTGCAGGCGAGGAAAGTTTGTGAACACTTTTCACACAAAGAGAACGATCGTTCCCGGGGCATGTACACTGCACAGTGACAGCGGCATGGACCCGGCCGATCTCCCCTACCACCCTCCCCGGCCGGCTCGCCGGACTCAGTGGCTGGCCAGTGTCCTGGCTCATCACTACGGACTGGACCGCGGGCTGGACAATGAAATCATCGTTCTGGCCAGTGGACTGGACCAGTACCTGCAGGAGGTCTTCCATCACCTGGACTGGCGGGCAGAAGGCACCATCTCCGGGGAAGAGTTCCGCACCCTGTGCGGGGTCCTTGGCTTGGAACCCGGAATGGACGAGTGCGAGGGGCTGCTGGAGCAACTGCCGGAGCGCCTGACTTTCCGACACTTCCATGCCAGGCTCTGCGGGCACTTCAGCTCCAAAGCCAGGGGCCCCCGCCTGCCTGTGAGCCAAGGTAGCCCGATCCGGCTGAGAAGGAAGAAGAGCCCGAGGATGACCCTGACAGGGGAAGACGATGTGCTACATAGGCTGGAGGACGAGAACCGCAACCTCAGGGAGCTGCTGGAGGACATGAGGACGGCTCTGCAGAGCAGTGATGCCCGCTGCCTGGCACTTCAGGTGAGACAGAGGATGGAGAGGGCTCCGCAGGGGTACTGCCTCTGGATACTGCATCAGGGCAGTGATGCCCGCTGCTTGGCACTGCAGGTGAAATAGGGGATGGAGAGGGCTCCATCCCCTGCAGCAACCAGGTACTGCCTCTGGTTGCTGCATCAGAGCAGTGATGCCCGCTGCCAGGCACTGGAGGTGAGCAGTGCTCAGCTGGGGTACTGCCATTGGGAGGCACACAGGTCCATGATTGTATAAATGCCTAAAATAGATGTCCTCCAAGTCACTAAAAGTTTAAATAGAACTCTAGGAATTTAAAAATGTACCCATGCAGTAGGAGTTTGAAATTGTATTTCCACATTTGCAGCCAAATTGGGTTAATACATTTATAATATTCATTGCTATTATGTGCTATTATACTATATGCTGCATATTATACATGTATAGAAGAGAAGTATACACTACTTCCAGGACGCTAGTAAATCTGGATACTTGCTATGAGTGGAGAAGTTGTGTATATACAAATTGGGATAACACCTATTTTATGTTTGTTGCATGCTCCCATTCACATTGCATAATTTAAGAAGAACTCTGGGTAAAACTTTTCAGTGAGGCTTCCTCTGATTGCTCGTTTTGATCTAGATGCTAAAATAAAAAAGTTATACTCACCCAAACTTTGGAGCCGGCTGTCTCTTAGGCCAGTCCCTTCCAGCGTTGCTCCCCCTCTGCTGCAGCAGTCTAAGATCCCTGAGTAATCACATGCAATACACTGTGTATAGGATGTGAGGATGCCGAGGGACATACTATCGCTGCAGCAGAAAGGACAGGTTGGAGAGAGCACTGCAACAGTCGGCAGATGAATTTAACTTTGATATTTTAGCTCCCTAGAAGAAAAATTAGCTCTTAACCCTTGCAGCACAGGTGTAACCCCACTGCAAGGGTTAAGATTTGATTTGGAGTTCTTCTTTAATGCAGAACCTTTCTGGTGTTTAGACCTGTGGGCAAGTGGTACTTGGAGGCAGACAGGAGACAAGGACCAAAAAACCTGTCCAAACTAAACTTACAAGCTTCCCTAGTCTTGTTTGCATTGATTTTGCTCTTCTGAGCTACTTTACTCCTAGTTCTCCAAACATCTCTCTGGACTATAATCTAATATAACTTTGTGTTTGTGTTTAAGCTGGTTACAGTGACTGATTCAATAACTAACAGACCAATGAACATTTATAGCTCATCAAGGCCGAGTAAGGGAACACTTACCAGAATACAGCATAAACAGTTATAAAAATATGAATAGCGCTCAGCCTTCAGGAAATTGTCCCACAAATACTTTTATTTTGCTGCCGCCAACATGAGCAGTGTGTTATTATCCCAATGATGGATGTTGTTGTGATCCACATAACAAAGCCGTCACCATTCATTCTGACTGAGCCAGGACAAATGATAAGAAATGCGATGGTAATTACATGTCTGGAGTTCTACTTAAAAAAAAAATTAAAAATTGCTGCTTACATTTTTTTTGGCAATTCAATAATTTTATTGACAGTTTTCAAAAATGTAACAAAAGCAAAAAAGAATAGGACAGTGTGTAGAACATGGTCATCAGAAATTGGCAAAGTTATACAATACTTAAACATCTGGGGCTCTTATACGATGCATCAAGTAAAAGGATAACCAGAGCAAAGAAAGAAAGAAAGAAAGGGCTCAACAACTATTAGGTAAATGTATCGAACAAATGGAGTGAAGAAAAGAGGAGGAATAAAAGGAAGCTGCTTATATGTTAAGTGATTTTTACTTGCTCA